TTACTCGTCATGAACAGTTTTTTAATGTTTTTCGTTCTCCATTCCATTGTATGTGTCACGTGATATAATTTTATACAATATGAAATTTGGATAGACTTTTACACTGTATACTTCTATACCCCTTTATTTGAAGAATTTAAACCTCGACCTGGACATATAAAAGAACGATACCTGAACAGGCGTAAAAAATAGAAATAGCAGTCTAGATTATTTTTTTGGCCTTGCTTCAATTGTAAATGTTGGCATTAATAGTACAAATATCAGTTATAATGTTACAATAGCATTGGCCACAATGCCAAAGAATGCAACACTGTACGCCATATTTTGTTACGTAAGTTACAAGTTTAACTAGGTAACCTTGTCTGTGACGTCACATTCATTAGACTCTAAACCTAAAAACAATAACTTAGTTATTTATATATTATTTGTCACACTTTGACTTATGGAATACGTAAAAAGTAAGAAAAGGTCGAATGTATGTATAAATACAAGTCGAAATTTGGAAAGTCACTTATCCTAAACGTACGCTATCCAAATTACAAATAAACACTGTAATATCCGATATAATACATTAGGGCTCTGGTTTTTAGAACGTATAATGAATAGTGACGAGCTCTTAAGTTCCAATTGTATTTTTTAAATAGAATCTACTGTTACTCTTTTTTAACTACTCCATAATTTTATTTGAATTGTAATAGTCCGTAGTTGTTTCCGTTATTATTCTAAGACTTGTTTATTTAACTTAACTTTATTGAAATATAGTACAAAATGCGGGTTTACTTAATGCTATTAGCGTTCTCCACTACCAAACTCTGGGAGCACATAAACGGTGTAATATATTCATTATTCTTTGGAATAGTTAAAAAAGTATAATTTTTAATTAACAACGAATTATAGAATAATTGGAGCGATAAAAGAATGTCACTCACTTTTGCGAAAAGGCTTTCTTCTCTCTCGTAAAATAACAAAAACTTCACTTGCTACCAACATTTTTATTCCACAACCTGATTGATATGGACTCAAAATAATACTGACCGTTGGAAATTTTAATAGTGCATAACTATGAATACAGATATTTACTGATTTTACATGTTCAGACTGGATGATGATGTCATGACTAACCGTGATCTAATATTTAGATGCATAAAAACTATATTGACAATTGTCATTGGCATTTTTTTTATCGACGTCCACTAATTTTCACTGCTTCTACATTTTAGTTGTTATGTACTTATCAATCTAGGAATGCTAACCAATATTACATAAAATCAAACTAGTTTTTTTATTTTATTTGTTGCTTTTTGGCGCTATGCCATTCGTATCAAGTCCCAAGCAAAAACAGTTATAATATTTATTGAAGTTTGAAATATAATAAGTAATAACGAAATGTATTTTCAAAGCAATGAGTGACATAATCGAGTAGGCTTTACGTAATAGATTGGAGACTAAATATTCCTTAAACTGATGGCGTAATTAAAAAAAAAACTGTCAGGAAATCTCTAAACGGCTAAAACCTGTTGATACCTTGAGTAATAAAATATTATATTACCGACTACTAAATCTAGAAATATAAAATTGGACTTGTTTGTTACATGGCAAGAGAGTTTTTTTTGTTATAGTATTTAGACGTCCAGTCCTTGCTAAACAAGACAGTAGAATAAAGTTAGTTGAATGATGGAATGAAATAACTTAGATTACATTTTTGAAAGAGATAGTACAAAATCCCAGGATTAACATAGACAGTATTGTACGTCATTTAAAATTTTAATGCGGAAGAAGTGATTCATAAATGCTGAAATTAGGTGCTGTTCAACACTAATTAAAAACAATATTAAAGTAATGCTAAGTAGGTAATTAGATAAAGTTAGATTTGCAAATATCATTAATTGTGTACGTCTATTATATACAGACAATGCACATTTATAAAGAGTTTGTGCTGTAAATCAACTATGTTTAGTATGTCTGCATTACATAAAAATAAGAATACATTACTAATTTACCTTTTGAGGATAGAGCTGTCATCAAAATATTTGCGTCGATTATTTTTGGTTTATATAACAAACATTATTTTCTTTATTTTAATATACGTCGTATGTGACGCCCAAAGTGATATTGAAAGATTATAAATATATCTTTTGCTTCCTCTATCTTTGTCAACTTATTCAAATACGTAGGTATATCTTAATTATTTAAGATTCATATTTCCATATCAAGATATTACTAAGGATGTAGTTGTTACTTAGTCGCATTAAAATTACACACAATGCATATCTGTTTTCAGTGTCTGCAGTGTGAGACATTTGATAACTAATTTGGAATTTGAGGTTAGAGCTGTACAGGCGAGCTTATCGTGCCACGTAAGTTCAAACATATGTACAAAGATAAAGAAAATATTTAAATGGGCTACAGAATTAACCCCGCATTGTACAAAGATTACGTCATAATGATTTTGAACTCTAAGTTTATCGTATTAAAGATGATTTATTCTAAGAGGTTAAGATGCATAAAAGGGGGTAAGCCGGTGCAATATGTCGTGTATTATTAGACGGTTATATTTATAGAACGCCTATTTATTGCTCGCACTGCTACGAATTTTAAATGACTATTTTCCTTTATTAATTTTTCTGAGAAAATTTCTTTTTAAATAACGTGTTAGATTTTGTCGCTTTCGTAACTAGTTCAAAATTTGAGATATAAAACATTTGATAATTATTAATATTGCATGTTACGTTATATCTTGGATCAAATTCAGTTTTCAACACTAATTTTGCTCAAACTGGACTCAGTTATTTGTAAGATTCAGCTTAGTTCTCAAAAATATTCTGTTCAGTACACGGAATCAATTAATAAGAACTGGCAGGAAATTAAACAGTTTTTTTTTTAAAACCTGTTTATTTACATTGTATGCTTCTATAGATGTCCTAGATACATATATAAGCATAAAATATAATTAGATTAACATTAAATGAAAATTCCATGCATGAACGACTAATGCCACGCAGGTTTGTCATTTAAGTAATTGTTTAGTGAGTAGTGAGCGAGGCTTTGCTCAATAGATATGTTTTAACAGATGTTTTAAATTTGTTTAAAAGTAATTTCAGTATATCCTTTGGTATATCATTGTAAAATTTTATAACCATTCTCATGAAAGATCCATTGATCCATACTTAAGGAATAAAATACCATCAAGTGTGTTGAGTGAAACTGTGCCATTCCCGTTACATAAAAAATATTTTCTATCTGAAAAAATGTGGTACAAAATAGCGTGAGACGGTGTCCTCACTTTCCGAGCCGACGAGACCGTTCCGCTTTCGTTGGCAGAAATAGATGGCCAACAAATGGGCGTGTGGTCGCCGGCCGTGTCGCCGTTTCCGGCAATCATGAGCTGCATGTTTGTCTTTTTATTGGTTATCAAGATCTACATATCTAAATTAACGTAATTTGAATGATTTCATACTTATCTGTAGGCAAAGACACAGAGAAACGAGTGTCCACGACCTTTATAAGTAAGGACATGTTTTGCTACTTTCATAGTTAATTTATAAATTATTATATACTTTGTTGCTGACAGCTTGTCCAATTGATTATATGGACATGTATAGAAAGAATATGCTTTATTTGCATTATACAATGATAGCAGTTAGGTACAATTAATTCGTAAACTACTGTATTTATAGATACCAATTTACCTATAAATATAATAAGGCGGCCTTATTGCTAAAAGCAATTTTTTTTATGAATCTATGGTTTAAAAATAAAACAATGCAATTTTAAGGCAACTAAATTCAATTTATGATGTTTATATCATAAATTGAATTTAGTTATGATATAAACATATCATAACTAAATTCAATTTATGTTTAACATATACTTATTACAATCGAATCTGATAATAACAAATTAATATAGGATTGAAGTTTTAAATATCGTGCTCACATTTTTGTATTAAATTCTTAATTACTTAATGCTGTAAGTGCAATAAGGTATATATAATAATTTAGATTGTAATAATAAGTATGCCTTTATCAAAACTATGCCCTTTCTTATTACTGCCCTTCAAACTCTTTGGGTTAGCTGGTAGAGAATGCCATATGGCATTAAGCTCGTCAATTTTACAGTTAGTTATAGTCCAATAAAAAAAATGTATAACAAAATTGGTGAAGAATTCAAAGATTACGATAAAATGCAAAATAAAAAAAATGTTTTTCGGTTAAAATAAACACGCATTCTTTGTGTCGTTCATTTTGCTAATTAAATTTGGACAACGGAGTGGTGAATGCAACCGAAATATTGAAGACCGGCCTTGATCGCAAACGAGATTATGGCTTTCGTTTCAAAACCGGTTGAAAAAAATAAAAAAATGCAATGAATTCTTACAAGAAACAGGACACTTGCCTGCTCATTGCTTCGTGTATAATTCAATTGCATTGTGCTGTCTTGTAAACGTAATTTTATATCTTTTTTAAAGAGCAAATATACCTATAAAGATTACTGGCCAGACTGCCTGCCTGATATTTCATTTTTTTACCAAAAAGGTCGTATTACTTAACCGTGCGTATATATTAAGGAAACAGTAGATTTTAATATACCTTTGTACTATCATTTTATCCTTACTGAAATGACTACTCTGGCTCGTTATGCATGTGTATAGTGTTGTTTATAAACTATATGATAATATTTTCTCATATTATAAAAAAAGAATAATATTTTTAATGTCGCCTTGTTATTCATTCTTAAATATTTATAGTTAGTAGTTATAGTAGTAGGTGTCCAGATTCAGTAAGTCTTTTTAAGTTATTTCCTTAAATTTTGATTGAACATTGCTTTTTTTCCAAATTTTTTGCCACGTATTTTTCTTTTATTATATTCCTTACATGTTTATATAATACATATAACACATACTTATAACACATATATGTTACGTGATTTTATAAAAATTGGCATCAAGTTTTAAAGGAAGTCTAAAAATACATGTAGATATGTATAAAACATGTTCTTACCTCGGATATCTCTCTGTAACGAGGCCGACAGGGAGCCGCCGGTTAGGGCCGCGTCCAGAAGGTTGATGTTATCACGGCATCTCGTTACGATCTCCGTCTGTGCACCGAAAAACACCCAGTTTGCAAATGTTCACAAATGAATGCATATTCAGCAAACTCGACGGCATTCCACTTTACTGCTAGCCGATCTCTTTAGACACTTGTCTTCTTATTAATGTAACACCACACAATAGCACTAATAGAAATCACATGCAATTTTTCAAAGTAAAATTTTTCAAACATGCTACATCCCTGTTTCAGAAATTCCTTTTTGTGCATTTCACTTGGTAGTAGATTTGTTATTGTGAGCGTAAGAATGTTTTTTTCTATAATCAGTACCCAAAAGCTTAAAAAGAACTAATAATGCCAAAAACAGATTAGGAAAAGCATTATACGCCCAAATGAAAGAAAAAGAATTTAGAATTTAATAAGTCGCCTAAACATTTTAAATTTGGAATCGTCTTATATATTTGAGTTGATAGAGAAGGGTGTTAATTGACTGAAACTCCATTTTTAATTTTCAAATCGACACATTTATTCTCTAATCATTTATACAAAGATCACTATGTTTTTAACATTTTGTAAAAAAAATAAGATCAATTAACAACCTAACTCCTATTCAACACACGATTAGTACAATATACTACTAGAATATATACTGTGAGATATTACGGAGTTCAGTCAAATCACATTTACATGGTACACATTTAATAGCAAAGCTAACTCTTATACAAGAAAAAAAATACAACCTGACACAATTAAATGACAAGAGCTACTATCTAAAATAAATCTATATCACTCAATGACAAGAACTCGCTTTGTTTGAGGTACCTATTTCAATAAATTAATTACGTATTGTTAAGTTAGTTTCTATCTATATGAAACCCTCTATATAATCAAACGTTAATATCGAATGTAACAGTTGTGTCAATTTGACATTTCAACTTTTTCATTCGTTTAGTAATTAGTAAGCACCGGTAACTTGAAATATTTTCCTAACCGAAGTTTTCTTCACCTATGCACCAATTATTATAATCAATTAAATTTATATATACTTATATATTATATAATTAGACTTGGTTTAGCACCGAGTTATCACCACTAAAACAGACGTGGGTTATTAAAAAAAGAAAAGATAACAAGCAGTTAGTAAAGGCTACAATCACAATCACACGGAAAACGAAATAATGTTAGTAAAAAGAGAGCATATAATATCGAAAATAAAGATAAACCATAGATCAATAACAGAAATTTAAATTAAAAATAGTTCCAACCTGTTACTTCTTTCATTTTAAAAAGAAAAACAGACGCAGAATAATAAAAGGAAAACTTTTAGACGGCCCTAATTATTAAATCAATAAGTTAGTGTCATATTTGATTAATTTGTTGCGACCGTCAGAGATATTTCTAGATGCAACTAAGAATATCTAATCAAATAAATGCCAACGATTTGTACAACTTACAAAACTAAAATGATCGAGGCATTCATAAAGGTTTATAAGGAGTGATTTTTCATAAATTTCTAGATAGAGCTTATTTTCAATATAAGAAAAAAAAAGAAAAATTCATACAACTTCTACAGGTTAATTGAATTAAAAATATGGCCGTAGATGTGTGTGGATGTTATCTGACGATCGCAGCATGCTTAATGCGTATACTTACATATATAATAATAAATATCACACAAGCCCAAGCCAAATGTCATTGTAGATGTATGTAAACTATTACTAAAATCGAGAATGCGGCTACTGCCAGACAAATTCTAGTACGCAAGCATGCAGGGCGTCGTGTACCGCACGCGGTTAACTCGTCCTCCGCCTCGATATAGCTACTACTATAATCGATATCGAATTTGGTCCTTACGTAGTCGAAAGCCCGGAGAAGGTCAGGCGAACTGTCCTGCCGGGCCATCACTGCCTCCGCCGCTTCCAGCTGCGAGCTCGAGCGCCTGATCAGCGATCGCACTTCTTCGGACTCCGAATCGGAGTCTCCGTCCCAGTTTCTTCGGCTATGCTTCTTCGGACTCGACGACTCTTCTTCCGAATCGGCGCTCTCGGTCGAACGTCTTCGCAATTCTGACAAAGCAATCTTTTGCAGCTCCGTTTCGCCGTCTCTCTCTGTTCTTCGCCTTCTGCTCAGCGAATCCAAGATATCGGGACGGTTATTCACATCGGTATACTCTAATGAGCTATTTACTTCGTCACTGGTCAAGTTTGAGCTGGGACGTCTTCGGCTCAGCGCTTGGACATTGAGCAAATCAAATTCTGTTGAGCGTTTGCTGTTTCTCCGTTCACTTTCTGACGGTTTACGTCTGCGGACGCCGTCGTTACTCTCGATGCTCGTGTTGTTCCTGGACCTTTCTAGACTATCGAGTAAGGACTTCTTGCGTTCGGCACTAGACATGGACTTTTTGGGTTTTCTTGATGGGGTTTCGACAGGGGATGACCTAGAGGGACGTTTGTGACGGGGTAAACTTCGTTCTCTGGAGTCGGAAGGCGGACGCCGTCGGCGAGTGCCGCTAGGGCTAAGGTCGTTTTCGGGCTGTGCTGATAAACTTGAACAGCAGTCGGATTGCGAATCGAGGAATGCTCGGTAATCGTCACCGAATTCGAGCAATCGCCGCGCTGCGTCCGAGTCCGGCGCCTCAGAATACGGTTCAGAATTGTATTTTTCCTGCGAACAAAATAACGATAATAATAATAATAATGAACAAGATAACGTTGTAACCTAGTGGTTTGTGATTCTGACTTAGACCGCTTAAAATATATCCGACCCTAAGACGTTTATATTTATAACAAACTCTCCAAGTTATGAAAACACCGATAACAAACCAAATTAAACGGACTGCCACATAAGATATAAATATACGAAATGTAAACATGTCAAGTATCAGCACAACACCACTGCTTCGACAGATGCCTACCCCAGATGGGGGTATAGACCCCAAATATTTATCTGCTTATGTAACATAGTGTAAATGAACACAAGACTACAAATAATGCTTAAAATAAACTGACCTGATAAAAGTCCCACGCCTGTTCTGAAAACGAACTGTGTTCCTCTGTACCTGCTGTGACGCTCTTGTCAATATCAGAATCTTTATCCATACTCAAACCCCACAAATCACTGGGGTCTCCAAGACTTAAAGCGAGGAAAGTCCTTCCCTCTCTTTCTCTGCTCCTCGCTAGCCTAGTTCTTACTTCTCCACCAGCTGGGCCTAGTTTGAAGCTAGGTACAGCCTCTGGCTCGTTCTGTTCTAGAATGGCACTTTCAGGCTCCCTACTCGATATGTGCGTCTTCTCAATACTTTTCCGCAGGTTGGCTATGGTTGCTAGTTGTTGTCTTATAAGTTCTTCATCACTGTCGTTGCCTGATGTTGATGTTGTATCAAACCTGCGTGATCATTTTGTTTATTTGTATTAGTTATGACTATTCATTCGATTAATTAGACTTATGTTATTTACATAGCCTTTGGAATGTTTCTTAAATGTTTTAAAATGTTACTAATGTCAATACAATATAAAAATGTATGTTATTATATAGATAATAACATACATTTTCTGTATTCTCTCTATAGAGACAACGAGTTCTCTTAAGAGGAAAATTAACTTCAGAACTACTACTTCTTCAAATAATTAAATAATTTTTCAAACTAGTGCGGTTTGCGAAATTCTTTGTTTGAAATGTCCATTATTCCTGGGCGAGATACGTTATGTTATTACTACCTGTACCGCTGTTTCACCCGTGTGAATTTTATAGCTTAATTGTTATTCTGGTGTATAAGCTATATTACTGTAAAGTTCATCAAAACCCTTTCAGTAGTTTTTGCGTGAAAGGGTAACAAACGTTCATCCATACTCACAAACTTTCGCGTTTGTAATATTAATAAGATATATAAAAATCACAAACACAACTAACATTAGTAAACCATTAGTTTAACCAGGATTTAAACTATAAATTGTAAAAGTATATTATTATAGTTAATAATTGTATATTATTTACGTAATATATTTATATTTTTCATGTACAATATTTATAATATCTTCATAAACACTCTTAGATATTATTAATAGCAAGATACTCAGTTAGATAGTTCAGTTTCAGTAGCGAAACATAAGATAGATTTTTACAAGAAATTATAATAAAGAATAAAATATACTGACCTACTCTTCCTACTAGTAGCTGGATCGCTGGCAGTACTCCTTTCATTCTTGTCCTCTATTTCGGGGCTGAGTCTGCCGCAAAAAGAGAGAGATTTGACCAATCTCTCTCTCCTGGTAGCGGACGTGTTATGACGTCTCAATTTCAACCGTTTTCGTCGCAACCAATACTGTTTGTCGTTGGTTTCGACGCACGATGTACAAGCCTCCGTCATTGTGTTTGTACTAGACACGTGACCCTGGGAATATCAAAATATTCTTAATCTTCTAGAACGTTCAATATAAAAGCTTAGAGTTCAATTACATAATTAATTTTAATTATTGTATTCTTGTAATAAAACACAAGATCACTAAATTTAATTAATTACTGTTATAAACCGATATTTCTTTGGCTAACGTGTTAAGTAACTGCAGTCGTAAATAACAGTTTTCTTTGTTACACTGATTGCGTGATTATTCACCTTAAATTTTTGCATAAATTAATATGTTATTTTATTTTATAGCTGCATAACAAAGAAACTACTAAATTCTTTGTTCTATTACAAGGTTATTTAGTGGAGGAAGTTCTGTGGTTATTAAATACAATGCAAAATAATATATATTATATAGATAGTATTAATTTTATTATATCAGATTCTTTAGCTGTTATAAGTGGTCAGAACTACGTCAAGTAAGTTAACAGTCACACAAATATATTTTTTAAATATTGTTATCATTTTTCAACCGAAAACATATTAATCAACATTTTTTGTAGGTTTTATATAAATTCAGTCCCCATCTATCCCATACACAATAGAAACGATTGAAACTGTCTCTTGCCTCCATTGTGGTATAAAAAATAAAATTCTTTTCGACTGGGTTTTTTGCAAGACATTGAATTGAAAATTGTTTATCTATATGGTTTAGATTAATTAATTTTTATGATAAGCTTTTAAATATACTAAATAAATAAACTAGTTATATTATATTTCAAGAAAATATAGTAGTAGAAACTATTAAACCCATATGGCAGATTGTGTTACCACAAAGTATAATGGATCTAATTTATAACCAATTAAGATAACATTTACCAATTACATTAAAATAGTATTATACGAATAAAGTCTCTTATAGTCAAAGTGCGGTGGTGCCAATCGTGACAGCATTGGTAAGGCGTCAGTGGATAGATGAAACGACATGTGAGCGAATTCTATGTTGCCAATATAATGGATTGATAGCTCCAAATAATTATCTAAATGCCCTATTGTTAATCGATGATTGTTATTATTTTTGTCTACTTTGTCTGCGCGTTTGTTTGCGCGCTAATCTCAGAAACGGCTGAACCGATTTAGTTGCGGTTTTCTAATGTATTAGGAGTAACTTGTGCGATGTGAGACAGAGAAACTCGAGTAACTATGTACAAAGTTTGTAAGTCCTGTTTGTAAAGGTCTAGAAATTGTGCTGGAACTGGTGAACTGTGTATGATACAAATGTATTATTTTTTATACTAGGATGGTGGCAAACAATCATACGGCCCATCAGGTAAACGGTAATCGTAGCTTATGGCCGCCTGAAACACATGAGGTGCGCATTGCCGACCATTAAGAAACCTTAATTTACCATTGAAAAACCCTATACTATAGTCTCTAAAGAATACCTCAGCAGGTAGTTTATTCCACAATCAAAGTGTATGCGGAAACCGCACTGTAAGAGACCACTTAAATTCTAGCGTGTGAGGATGATATCCCTGTCAATGGCGAGCAGTGCGAAAGGACCGGAAACATTAGCCACAATACCTGTACAGTAGTAGAACTTCCACGGAGTTTGGAGTTAGAATTAGCTGGTGTGACCCTTTGTGTCGATGCGAGAGTGTTCAAAGCAGATTCAGATATAGACATGTTGTGCGACATAGCGGCGACGTCGCCGGCGGTGGGCGTGGCCGCGAGCGATGCGCCCGCGCCGCTCAGCTGCGACAAGCACGACACCGACCACGGCCGCGCGCTGTTGCTACCTCTTTTCTTGCGCAGTTGCACCTGATGTACAGTTATACCTCAGCCCGATTGTTATAGTGATTGTGAGTACACGTGTGAGAACCAGATATATGGAAATGTCGGTATTATTATGAGTGAGAGAAAAGATATAGCCCCCAATTTTTATTTTATGAAGAATGTAATTAAAATATAATGTCGGGCATTTTTGTAACTTAGGTCGGAAGATTATACAAGATGCAATGGAAGTTAGATTGAGTGATATTTGTATGGACACAAATGTTTCGTTTATTTGTACAAACAAAATTTGTTATTAACGAACATATCAAGCGTACGAAAAGTGATCGTGAGTGTAAGCGTCATAGTTTATATTACCTTGGCGTGGTGTGTCGGGGTGACTGTACAGGTTGAAGTGCTCATGTCCATTGAAGAGTGCAGGTTTCTTTCTTCGGATGTGAGTGAAGTGTCGACTTCGCTCTCCGTTGTATACTCACCTGATGCGTCATAGCTTTCAGTAAACTGAAATATTAAAAATTATTAATTTACTATGTATATACACGAATGCATTAAAAAATCGACAGTTATATTACATATTTGATGATTAATTAATAGATAAAACAGAAAACCTTATGATAAATCTAAATACAGCACCGAACTTGTAATATAAATACTGTTTATAAACTACATAAAATGGTAGAATGACCTCGCTAAATCTTGTATATAGACTCACAGTTGATTGCTAATATCTAGATCTGTAAAGACGAGGCTATATAATTTTTAACTTTTTTGAACTATTAATACCTAATAGTCTGAAGTTTAAAATAGATTAACCTAACAATTTCTAGGCTTGAGTATTTAAGGAAATTTGATAACTATGACTAATTGAAAAATTACATTTGATTTATAGCATTAAAATCTTACCTGATGGTTATTATTTTTCCCATCCGAACTTTGATTTAACCATTCCTTAATTCGGGACATCTTTGTTCTGTTAACATTCTTGCCATCTTCCTCGAACATAAGCGGCTTAAAGCTTCTAGACCCCTTCTTCTTTGCCATATTCTGCTGAGCTTGTTTCTGTACTAATTCCTCTGCTTGAATTACTAATCTCTCGATATTCTTACATCTAGCTTGGTCGACTTTGAGCAGGTCTGGTGTAGACGACTCCATTTTGGGTTTCGGCGACGGTTGACATTCTTTCTTTTCGTCGTACGGCAACTCGCATTGGATTTCGACCGATGACGTCATTACATCAGTTGAGTCTTCATTTGCTATCTTGGCACCCTCGACGTAAGTCCATTCTTCTTCGGAAGATTCTTCTTGTGACTTCTCATCGGTTTCAATCATTTGCCTATCGGAGTCGGTATCATGATGTCTAAAGTAGAATGTGGCACAATGTTTGGATTTTCTATCCGTTTGGTTGAATTTTGACGTGTTGACTGGTTTCTTTCTTTTTATCACTGTTTGTGGTGTTTTCATTTTATCGTCTGTTGTCACGGTATGTACATCGAGGCCTACGACAAAAACTGACTATTAATCATTAATGAACAACAGCGATTGTTTATTTGTTTACAGTAATCGCATTTCGCAATACCTGTGATTGTTTGAATGTTTTTAAATACAGTTGCGAGAGCTCGCAAAAAGCTATTTAAACAATAGCTTTTTGCGAGTAATGTAATCTCATTAATTCACGAATTATTATTTACGTGTTTATATTTTATATATTACGTGTTCAAAAACTACAAATGCATATGAAAAGGACTTAAATTACACTGTCGTGAGACTATTATTTTTGTCGAAATAATCATTACGTTTACACTAAACATTGTGTTGAACATTCTAACTAGCTTGGAACGTACTCGAACATCTTTCTACTCGACTTTGCCATATTATTTGGACTTTATTAACGTTTCAACATAGTAGAGAACAGTTAATACGAGGTTCTCAAATTACTAATATAAATAAATTTTGAATCGAGATAACAACAACTACTCAAGGCATGAAATTTATATGGTCATAAAGACACATGTATATATACAGACAAGGGATGATTTTTATGTAATTGGAATGGCAAGCAAGCTGACGGACCACTTCATGATAAGTGGAACTGTCACAGTGATTCCACTGCAATATGTCACCCTTCCATCAAAACATAGACAACAAGCAGTAGTAGTAGTAGCAGTAATGTGTAGCGAAATAGAGGTATCCGCAGACATAGGGATAAGAGTACAACTGACCATCAGTTTGGTCTGCAGTGACCGGCACTGTCTGATCGGTGGGTTTGGTTCCAACATCGTCGCATGCGCCGGGCACGCGTCTCTCGTCCGCCATTTTGTTACTTGGTATTCTCACGTGTTCCGATTCGCAGTCCGATCCGAAACCGCGCCAAGTGTACGTTACCACATATTCTTGTTCCTCCTGGAAACATAATAAAGACAATACATATAATATAATATCAATTTAAGATAGAAATAATGTATAACATTCAAAGTACGAGTTATGCTTGGTTTGGGATACCATTGATGTTTCCATTCAACAATTTATTTAATTGAGGTAGAAAATTATTGTTTTCGGACATTGTAATAATATCATATGTTTAGAACATATGATATTGTTACAATGTCAGAAATACATAAATGTATCCAAAATTAGACAGTAGTTTCATATGTTTCAGTCCCAATAGCAATTCTCCACAAGATTTGTTTTTATAAGTAAACCTAATTTTTCTTCTGTGTCGTTTTTTGAAGAACAATTATTTACATGTATACAAGGAATTATTACTAGAATTTAATTCTTATTTCGAATATACTGAACTAAAAAAAACAACAATAAACAAACAAACGCAGGTACAAGGGTAAATTACTAATTAAGGCCGTGTTTTATGGCATAATATCGAGCAAACCAAAAAAATTAAATGAATGGCGGAAGGTTAATATGATGATGACATACCTCAGAGGCGGATTGTCTACTATCAACTGAGAGGTTCCTATGACGTCGCGGCGCATTGACTGGGGTGCGTTGTCGCCTCGGTGAGCCGCGACTAAGTCGTGGTTGTTTTAAGGCGGGTTCGTCGTCGCTGTCGCTTGCCGCTTCCACTGACGCCACACCCTGCAACACATAGTTTATTAAAATTAGTTTAATATTAAAAATATCTAAAAGAGCAAAATAGTGTAACGGCTCACATGATGGAAACTATCGCATATAGACAGGAACAGCACCATGGCCATCAAGTTAATAACGATGAGAGGCCCGTGATACGCAAGCATTACTGTTTTTTTTATTTCAGTTGTCACTGGCTTGTTTATCTATTTGTTCAGTTTATTACGTTGAATACAAAAAATAATTTACAGATGTCCATAATAGTAGGTACATTGTAAAACATAAAATAATAAACTTTACTCATATTACGTTTGATTGACAAACAATCCGTAACATATTATAGCATTTTAGATGATAGTTTAATTGCATATTTTCTGATGATTATTGACACTAGAACAATGCATCATAATTTACATACAAAGGAGAAATAATCTATTGAATAAAACGATCGTAACATTCACTGGCATCGTAACTTTCATTCACACAGAATTAACAATGTCTATTCATAAATTAATTTATGATCAGTATATGTCGTTTAAAAATTATAAGTGAATTTATGACCATTACAAAGATTTAATAAAATAGCTCGCTGCAACTATCCCGAGTAAACATAATGAAAATAGGTCAAATAATTTCTTATGGCAACAAATCATAAACATATCCCACGTGATTTCAATACAAAATTTATAGCATCACATACACGTGTACCAACCCTTTCGACTAGAAATTTATAAAAAAAAAAACGTTACTATTCATATTTATGCGGTCAAATTGAAAGTAGGCAAGGGTGAATTAAATTAGAGGTTAAATCGTCTCCACTCGAAACTGGTAGGGTTTTATTTAATTGTGTAGAAGTATTAGGGGAATCTATTATAATTTTATATGCCACTTGGGGTTATGTTTGCAAACAGGGTACGACGGGTGGCTGATTGTGCTATTGTGAACGATGGGAAACTGCGAAAAGTTATGTGTATTCGTGTAATAAATAAAATGCTAAGAGAAATTAATACCGGCACTTAGGGTTATCGCACGTGTCTTTTAAAGTGTAAAACATGGTGGTATTACTGTTATTTGGTTCTCTAACTTACGAAGTACTAAATAATAGAAAAATAATTGTTTAAGTTCAAATAAATGGACATGCCAGCAATATTATTATGATTAACTGATTGATCATTATGTAAATATCTCGATTTCCATTTTCTAGTTATCAATAACATATTTATCTTCACAACTGCTCTCATACAAGGTAGACTGAAGTGAACATAAAGTGGACTTGATAATTTACATTCGCAGCAGTGGTAGAATAGGTTAGCTTAAAATCATTCAGTTTGCCATACACCCCTGACAGTATCATGGTTAATTCCAAGTAATTCGTCTGGATATTGCGACTGATCAGACTTCATACTAATCTATAATTGTTAGCGGAGGCGAGTGCACCATACCATACCATTATTATCATCAATTAATAAAAAAAACCTAATCAGATTGACAACATAGGACGGGCTATGTCACGAAAGGCCAGTGACAAATCTTACTAATAAACGCGAAAGTTTGTAAGTATGGATGGATAGATGGTTGTTACTCTTTCACGCAAAAACTACGGAATGGATTTTAATGGAACTACAATAATGTAGCTTATAGATCAGAATAACATTATATAGTTAAATATAAAATAATAATAACCTGATTATTGATCCTGGCAATAAGACGATAAAGAGAACATTGACAGGCACGCCTACGCCCTTGTACACGTTAGCCATAATTCAATAATGATGGCAATAATAATAACTGCCACTCGATCGCCCGCAGGTACAAGAGGTGCCAGCGTCGCTCTAGAGCGCGCGCCGCGTCGCCACCGTTGCACAGACGCACCACCGAACTCACGATCCGACCGTGGCATTCCACGTCGCGTTGCAATACCTGGAAGGCAATAATATCTTTAGATATCGATACCTCAATAAATGAATGGCATGGTTTGTTAACGGTATTTCAATTTCAATTCCACTGGAGAGTCAGTCAGATTTGTATTTTTTTTTTTGGTATCGGTCGGTTTAGCATTCTAAAACACTATATACAATACAAATCAACGTCAACGTTGTTTTTCCACTGTATTATGTACAGTCTTACTTTGATCATAGCTCATATTTCGTTATTTTTTATGAGAAATTATCTATCTATTTGTATATTTTTATATGATGAAATAAACATGTCAATTAGAAAAAAATATAACATCATGTTAGTTGTAAAGACTTCGGGTAATGAACACCTAAAAATATACGTGTCAAATTGAGTACACCTTTAGTTTGGTAGGTAATACGTAAAAAATAAAAGGATTAATTCAATAATTTAATTTATTACCAATGATGGTTAATATTACAGTTGTCAGTAAACATTGCGTGTTATATTCAATAAGTTGAGAAAGTAAGGGTGCGATCATTAACTTGACCACACTCGAAAATTTGAGTGACAATTAAATATGACGAAATAATTGAAAGTTGTAAGAACGCGGATCTTCAAACACGCAACGAGATCAAGTATTCGAAACGTACTACGCGTGTTATGAAACTACAAATAACAATGACGGAAACAATATAGAAAATGTTCGACCCTATGTAGATAATAAAAAATATAATTTGACTGTGCACAATAAACTAATAGCAGATACCAACCAATCAAATTTAACAATAGCCGTTGACATAAGAACTCAAAGCTACTTAACCGAAAGAAAATTAAAAAAAAAACCTTAAAAAGTTAACAAAGGGTGGAACGTGCCTCGGTCGGTGCGCATGGCCATCCGGCTATGACAACCGATATTACAGTATTTATTCTTTTAACAGAACAAAGAGTGTGCTGATAGAACGATTTCACGACGAAAATTTTCCTGTCAATTGTTTGCAAGTTTCGTATTTCATACTAGGTAGTTTCACTTGCAATTTCTCTCGATATACTTTGAACAATTAGATACGCGGTGTGCTCGTTATAAAAACCGTATTTGGCTATATACAAATTGAAGTTGTATATAATTAAAGTCTTTGTACAAAAACACATTTAAATCGTGAAAATTATGTAGAATATAGAAAAAGGATATAGCTAAACTCTATTATTGATTGTACAAATAATAATCACATTTGGATTTGATTTTCGGATAAAAATCATGTTTTTATATTTCTACAGTGATCGTTCAAACTATCGAAGTACACAAGCCGAGATATTCCTATGAGAATCGAATCTATATTCAATATGAAAATTGAACAGTGTGAGAACACATTAAATCCGAAACATAAAAATCTTGCTTCTAACCAAATTCTTTGATTAGATGATGATAATTTCAAAACAAATGCATTGCGTTGGCGTATACATTAAAAGTTATACCGCAGATACGACGTGTAAATTACCTCGCTCACGTCTATTAGTACTAAATATAAACATAGTATTATGATTAGACATATATTCACACGTGAGATTTGTAGTAACCATCTTATTAGACAGACATTTTATTAGTACAGGAATAGATTAGAAATAAGAAACCCCAGGGGTCCAATCAAAACATCAAGAATGCTATCATCGATACGATCTACATGCATAGATTATGTCATTTGTCAATACCACGTGCGAGGTAGTTACCATTGAGGTATTTCATGTTAGTACTTCTGATTATAGAGTTGCACAATAGTAAAATAGAATAGTCATTTCACAGGCTCATTGTCCGATTGACTAGGTAACTACATTTCTGTCGGCCGGTTTCATTGGAATCCACACAATCACACAATACGTTGCATCACAACTGTAATAACTATAGCGATGCTATCTGTTTATTTAACGACCTTCATGATTTCAATAGCTTCAAAAAATCCAATCAAAACATAACCTCAATTTAAGAGACTTGATAAACATCAAAAAATTTATCACGTTGAATCTTCTAGAGATAACTTGAATTCAAATATTCTGTTTTTATATTTCTAAGGCGTCACTCACGTTGAAACCAATATTCTCATCACATTGTTCTATTGATTTATAAAATAATTATATAATACGTAGATTATAATTAGTACGGTGTATCATATATAGTATATCTATCTATCAGTTGTATAGCACTTATACAAGCTCGGTTAGTTAGGTTAGAACTAGATAGATGTTGTTATATATTCAGGGTTATTTATTCTTGTCTATCCACCGTTATAAAGCATAATACAACTAAAACTTAGTCGAGTTTCAATATAAGGTCAGTTTGCTTTTCAAGCGTTGATTTCTTATATATTTAAATTAAATATTTGCTGTTAAAGGCTAAAGTATGACAGGTTGTAAACGTGACATCTACGGTGCTTGATCAATTTTTAATTTGCCTCGGTTTAGCTATAGCTCAGCATGCTGTCTAATTATATTATGACAGCAAAGTGGACACACCAACAAGCGTCCCAGTTTAACATAGAGGCCTTGTAAATTAGGTTAATGCTATTAGAGTTATCAATGATGTTTTTCATATGTAAGATTATGTAAAAACGTTAAAATATCGTTGACACTTTCTGAATTATCTAAATGTTTTAAGTAACATTAAATGAATAGATATACGACCACACATTAAATATCATGGGGCATGGAGTCAAGGATGAGGATAGATGGCATTTTCATGCAATTCATTTCGTGATATGCCGTTTTAAGAACGTGATATATATTACATGTCTATTTTAACGTTAGTATTTCAATGATAGGAGTGACCTGATCAATAGATAACAATATAAATTTTAATACAATGAGCGTAAATAATTATAAATATTATTACGTGTATCATGTAAAACGTAACTAACAATATCGATTTTTTCAAGGTCCATAGTATTCTCATAATGTACAATATTAGTACGTATATGTTAATAAAAGTACCGAAATTGAATGAAGTTCATCATTAAAGAAAGATTATTTACGTATATTCAGAATAATTTAAGCTTTTTTGATATTTAATGTCATTATTACTTAAGTACTTAAGTGCATTTCTTGTAATTTTTGGCAATGTTGTAATCATCGTGATGAGATAGTCTCGTGGACATGGCGATAAAATTTCACAACGTGGTAAGATTTCCAATATCGTACATATAGATGTCATAAACATATTCAATTGCCAGTGTTTTTTTTTTGTAATTTAGAAAAGCATGTTTGATATATGAAGTTTTGATATTATTCCATTGCTACCCTTTATACACAGTAACACAAAAGATATAAGAAAACAATTTTAGCTAATAGAACCGATTTGTCTTATAAGAAAGAAAGAAAGAAAAGAAAGAAAAATATTTTATTCAGTGCAATGTAACAAAAATACAATATAAAGATATTTTTTAACTTGACAAAGAAGACAAAGCGTTTAAACATACATCAAATTAGTTCGTCAGTCGGGTACAAATCTGTTTTGTATAATAATATTAGGAAATTATTTCGAATGGAATATTTTTCACTATCACCATCTACGGCAATCGTATTTCATCATTTTGATCTGTAGAAGATTCAAAGTACAATAAATAACGAGATTGCTCAAGTTGGTAGCCCACAGGCGTGGTGAAGTCACGACATCATCAACTATTTTTTGTTGTTAATACTTCAACCTCTAGCATGGCAGTACTGCCGCGCGGCTTCATCTTTCGATACAGCTGGTCAATTCATTTTATCGATTAATATTGATGAGATATTCAATAAAAACTCAATTCCTTTGTTATGTTACTGAGTATTCTATTACAACCATATATATATTAGATTCAGAGTAATCATGACTCAGCTATCAAATAGATAACCAAATCGAAGGATATACCATTAACTGAAAAATAAATTATAAGTAAATTATATCTGATACAATTGTTGCTTGAGTTAGTTGAGATTCGTTCTGTTTTCTAGATTATAGAATGAAAAACAATATGGCAGTGCAATTACTGGATACTGTAACTTAAAATCTTCAAGTATTAAAATTCGTCATATCTCTTGGAAAATCAGCAATGGAAGCGTGATGACGCCATTGGTCCGAGAGTATATTTTTTTAACGGTATAAAATCTGGTTTGTGTACATGATTGCAGTTATAAATCGATGTCATCCCTATTCCTTAATTCTCCATAGCCCTGTGTCCCGTTAGCATCTACCATTAAAATAGATAGAGTCACCATTCATCGTCAACATCAAAATCATTATAAGGGTATTAAATATGTTCCTGTGATAGTTTGTTTGTTTAAGAATTGCGTCTCATTTATTACGAATGTTCAGAATAATGTCTAAATCATATATTTGCTATTTAAAGATCTGTTATGTCTTAATACCTTATACTTGATGAGCAACAAGATGAGTTTTTTAATGTTACGAGTAATTTTGATAGGACAACATAATTGTTGGTCTTCGTATATTTTAACGCTTGTAATTAAGTGGTTAAAAAGCTAATCGAACTTTTGAAAGAATATTACTTTAAACATACGGAAGTAGAATAAGCCTTTGAATAGTTCCAATCAATCAAAGTAGAAATGGACACGCCCATATAATCACCGCAAAATAAAGGCATTGTGCGTTCACCAGGTACCTACATCATTTGACTAGAATGTACAGGTACCTACTTTATTATTATTCTGACTGTTATATAAAGATATAGTAAATAGCTAGTTCCTTGTGTTAATCGTAATGAAATATGTCAAAACAATGAATTATCTGTATAAAAGTTAATGCTTTTCAATTATAAAGACACAAATTGCTCACGTAATAAAAAGATCATGATTTTTAAAATTAACCTTAGCAAATTAATACTTTAAACCCGGGTTCAGATCGTTTTATTACATATGACAAAAATAAAAATAAAATCAATAGAGAACGTTATCCTGATGCTTAAAAAACCAGATCTAGAAATGTCTTAAAATTCTAAAATTTAATAGATATTTAAAATGTGTAATATTTATGTTTA